GATCCATACTTTTCAGAGCAAGGCACTCTCTTCTTCCTTTTGGGCATCCCGTACAGCACGTAATAATTGAAAAAATACCCAGATGGTTCTCCCAATAAGTCTATTTCACGAACTCCCTCTCGATGTAATTATTTCAACAAAGTATTGTACGATACTTCTCTTCTTCTCCTTTCTGCTTCCAGATCGATTTCCTCTTCGATGTCTATCATATCATCATCTTCACCATTGTAGGCCTCTCTAGAAGTTTGGCCTTCTTCATATTCCAGCATGCATGCTTCCTCTTCGTTATCCTCCTTTTCTTCTTCTCCCTTCCCTTTATTCTTGAACTCATTGGCTAGTAAATAGTTATTAGCCACGACAGGAGGTAACGTACCAAACTAAATAGTAAGGGGCTGATCTGGATCTTCTCCATCCCTTCTGTCTCGCTCAAACTTCGACCTCCCAGAAGAAGTCTTTGGCAATTCTTCCATAGGTTCGCCTGTACCAGTCTCTTCACTGTCGTTGAGAACATTTTGATTGGCAGCCTTGAATAGTCTAGGTGCCTTAAGACGTAGCATTTCATGTTGTTGCCTCATCATTCGCCCATAGTTCCATTGAAAACGCCTTTGTTGGGTTCTAGTCATCTCGTTAAAAGGTATCGCCCTTCTAGCCTTATACTGGAATGAATGCCATACATTTGGTTGGCAAGGTTGCGGTCTGAATGTTCTCCCATTATTTACTGGCCTGAACTGCCTCTCAAAAGGCGGTCCCTTATAGAACGATGTATCCCGCCCTCTACCAGGCTGAACGTTTGTGAAAAAACTAGGGCGATGGTGATGCTGCCATATCCCTGGTTTTTCTGCATTTGCACTCACTTCTTTTTTGCATCTTGCACATAGGACGTTTTCGTCCTTTTTGGGCTCCTTTCCTTTGATACGTTCAAAGACGCTGGTATGTGATCCAGGGTCTTCTTCCCCATCATCTATAACCAACTTGAATTTTGGCAACTTGTTTTTGAAACCAGATGTCACCATGTTCACTCCAAGTGGTTGTGGAAAAGGATTTTCATCCACTGTCATCTTCCTCTTATCCTCGAACGTAATTCATCCTGATTCAATGGCATCTTCTAACACATGGCAAAAAAACCAAACAGTTGTTAGTCAAATGTGACCATGCATTATGCCACTTACAATATTTTTTACCCTTAACTTGTTCGGGGCTTGGTAATTTATGCTTATCGCTCAGCTTTATATGCTTATCCTTATATAATTTATTAAATATAAGGTCAGCTTTGGTTACATCGAACGAGAACGTTCTAGCTTTTATGTTTTCATCTTTTATAGGCTCATCCTTACCCGACGGTCTAGGCTTAGCCATTATAGGACAAGTATACGTGTCTCCTTTAACTAATTCAGTAAACACATTTCGGTTTTATCATAATACTCGTCATTAATGGTATGAACATCAAAATTTGGGTCTCTATAATAAATCCCCTTGCTAGAGTTTTTCATTTGCTCTTCTTCTCTTATTAATCGTTCATACCTAATCACGTTCGCACTCAATTGGAAAAGATCAAGAAATTCCTTGTCTTGGAATTTCTTTTTCAAATCAAAGCTTAAGCAACCATGAGCGATTTTAACAAACTCCTTTTTGAGCAAAGGTACAAAACATTTACTTCTTGCCGTCTTGAACCTTTGAAGGAAACCTTCTGCCCATTCGTTTGACATTTGACGTAGATTAGCCAATTCGACCAAAGTAACTTCAAACTCAGTCTTATAAAACTGAGCGTGGAGCAATTGCTCTAGTTGTTGTCATGTTTGGACAGAGTTTGCTGGTAAATTAATGAACTAGGAGAAGGCTACTCCTTTTAATGAACTAAGGAACAGCCTCATTTTATGGTAATCAGTTACGTCACCACTTTGCAGTGTGAATCGCCCTATGTGTTCTAGAGTAAACACCTCTCCTAAACCGGTAAACAGTGAGAATTCTGGCACTTTATACCCTCTAGGCCATGGATATGCTTGGTCTACCCAATCAGGATATGGCTTTATGTAAGTCGGCCTAATGACAGGACGTATCCCAAAAGCCATCTGGTCCTACACTATTTCCATAATCTGATTCCTCAACATGACGTTGGGGTCATATGGAATTCCTGCAGGTTGGTTGATCGGTTGATTTGCTAGAGGCCTGATGTTTGGTCCTTGGTTGGCAACAAAGTTGCCATGATTTGGGTCATTGTTACCATTAGCCTGAACATTTATTCCATCATTAACACGTGGGGTATTCTGTCCATTATTTAGGACATTATCTCTTACGTTTAAGTTACCCCCCAAGTTAGATATAACATTGCCACTATTCTGATTTGGTATTATATCACCCCCCTGGTTTGAAGTAGAGGGATCAAAAGGTGATTCTACTCCTTGATTTAAACTTAGGACTGGGGGATTATGTCCCACAATTATCCTAATTTGAAAGTGGTTTGCAAGAGGCACAACTGGCTGACAAATTTGGCCTACTAACTTATTCATCATTTCGTTCAAAGTATTCAGTTGTTTGGTCATGTTGTCATAATGTGCATTCCCATTCTGGGTAAGTCTTTCCATATTATGAATATTTCGTAGATTTACCTGTTCAACGACATCTTGTATGAGTTCTCCAAGTAATGTACGCATGGTTCGAGGACTCAACTCTGTCATTGGTTCGTAACGACTATGATTGCTCTGATTCTGTCCATTTGTTCGTGGGGAGCTATGCTGCCCCTCATATCACTCGATCACGGACTGGACTCCTCCCTAACTTGCTGCTTCCTTATCGAATTTCTGAAGTATATTGTTTCACGTTTTGTATCTTCAACACCAAACATCAAAGTCCCACTGGGCGAGCCAAATTGTTTCGCGCAGGTAGTCGCTAACAATTAAAAGAGGATCAGACGATTGTGTAAAGAACAAACCTCTTGAGACAAAGTCCCAAAAAATGGTGTCTTATTGACGATGACTTTACAATTGGAATTTAAACAGAATGCCTCCAAGGGGCGCAAACACACGAGTACTGAAAAGAAATGTTTAAGTCTAAACTGGGAAATTGAAATTACATATTCTCTGTCTGAGAGTGTTTGATTAGGGATCCTTTTGCTCTGTGTCTTCTCTTCCTTTTATATTCCTTGATGATTTCTTCGTGATCAACCGCTTAGAAACTGCTTGATTGTTTTAGTATTACCCACTTTCTTCATGGTCGCCAACTTATCGTGGAACTGCTGTCACTACTCTTTGTCATTCAACCGCCTTCAATTGAACTCCTTGAATCGTGGAACGTGATAAGATTACTCAATAACTGCACTTTTGGATAACCATAACATCTTATGTTTGCTAAGATCCTGGACGATTCGAAGGTTTGGACGAGAACAGGGTCATAACTCTGGGCGACTACAAGGCACTTTATTCGCTCAGATTTTGGGCGTCTTGCAAGCTTGGGCGATAGTGTTACCGCGTTCGTGGGCTTTCACTGCATTCATTAATAACCATATTTGGGCCTTTATCCTAAATTGTCCAGTTGGACTTCATTCTTTGAGCTATTCGATTTGGACTGCACTTTTAGCGTGTCAATAGTTAGCAGCTAATTATTTTTAACTATTCTGTATTTACTCCTCTTTCGTGTTTCCTCCCGGTATCAGCCCGGAATAATATTAGTATCTTGATATTGCTCTAAGCACATTGCACCAAAATTTGATTATACTCTATTTGGAACTTGATTATTTAACCTAGATCTCTTTGGCTTTGTTACCTTGTGTGATCCCTATATAAAACGATTCATTTCGTTTTCACCTGTATAGGTATTGACAATGATGCTTAGGTTAGTAGGATATATGTGCAACTTTTAGCTATTTCGAGTTTAAGTTTACATGTTGTCTTCAATATCTGTGCTACCGGCTAAGTAGCTGCATGGACTGAGGATGCGGTGCGGTGGAAGGTTTAATATTGGAAAAGTGGGATATGGTTTGGTGTTATGTGCACAATCACATTATGTTCACTCCTTTAAATGCATGAAACCCACGTCATAAACATATGACATTTGGACAATGGTATGAAAAAAAAGTCCATTAATTGGCAATGGATCATAAATTTAAATATGACATCAAGATGTTTGATTGCTCCCATAGGTATTTCAGATAAACTTGCCTGCCATTTTCAATTATTTACATTGCCTGCACATCTTTTACAAGAAAATAAAGATATTAATAATTTGTTGGGCATCCTTATATTTCTAACCCACAGAGTAAGATGGATCGTGAATATGACATTTGATTTGAAAACATCCTCTTCCAACACCATACCTGACTACAAGTAATATATGCAAGCACGTGTATGTACCATGTATGATAACATACACAAGTACAAAGCTACACATCATGCAAATTAGATACATTTTGTTCTCAATAGTTAAAATTTATTGGTCCATACACATTAGCATGATCACTTATGATATGAGTTTGAAGTGGAGTATACAATAGAACAACAAGAACTAAGGCTTATTCACGATAAAAGTGTAATTTGCATATATAAGAAACCATTCCTTTCATATTCTATGCCACTTTAATGAAAACTCACTTTGGAACATCATATATTTGGTAAATTAATGATGTTTATCTTTATTGTTTGGGAAATTGCATCAATCGTTTAGTTGCAGAAAAATAAAATTTACTTAAGGCTCCCAGAAGTAATGGACAGGTGTTATAAAGTGTTTGAAAAATTGAAATTTTTATGTTGGAATATACACAATCAATGGAGTGTGGAAGAATGTCGTTTTCAAATGGTATACAACTCAGCACATTGTTATCATGAAATTCTTCTCTGGATAACAAATAACAATCAGCTATACTATCTTCCAGATAGAAGTTAAAATAGAATAGCTAACAGTTATATATTGGAGAAAAACGATCAATGTTGCTTTTTAATGATCTATAATCAAACAAGGCTAACAATTTGGTTTCAAACAGGATCAGTGATTTCTTTTATTTTGTTTAGGGAATTTCTGGAATCTCAGTTGCTAGCATTTAAAGAAAAAAATCCTCAGCTCGAGGTGATCGCCGAGCTCAATCGTGGTCATCATCCATTTTTGAAGGGCTTATACAGTAAGAATTCCCTCTTTCTCTTGATCTATCTATCCTTACTCCCAATATCATGTTGTTTCTTTCTTGTTTAAATTAATAATAAACTTCTTGTGTATTATCCTTTGATTAATAAAATATCTGATTACCTTTCAAAAAATAAAAAATCCATTCATCCTTACTTGATTTTGTGTATGCATTTTTATTTTTACACTTCCCTTTGGATTAGACAATCTATGTTTGAAAATTTATGTGGAGTCTTGGATCAACTGAATCTAATTCACATCTCTTCATGGAACACAGTTGTAGGTTTCTGGCCTGATAATCATCTATTTATTTAGACATGCAGGCCTGTTTGTTTGACTGAAGCATAGGTCATCCAGATACTAGGTTCTTTGACTGCAGAGGTATAAATGAGAAACACGTTGGTCTGCTGTTAGAGTCTTGAGCAAATCTTTTATTCTAGTCCCTTTTTTCCCCCGGTTTTGGGGATTGTGGGAGGGGCAAATGTGGGGTAGATACATTTCTGGCTGTTTTACTTGCATCTAATCACACACAAGTAAGCTCACTTAATTTTACTGCTGGTATGTCATTGAATGTGTTAAGAAGATATAGCAAGCCAACATGGATGATTAATTCAAGATTATATGTGGATGTTGGAAGTGAGAGTTTGAGAGATAGAGACTGAGAGTTCCTAGAGGCACTGCTATTCATGCCAAAATAGTATCTTTAAGCTACATCAGTTCTTTTACATAAGAAATAGCAGGAATGCCCTTGCGAAACAATTTTTTTTATTGTAAAAAAGAAGTTATTTGATAGAAACTTATGTTCATTATGAGCAAATCGGAGTCAGATAATATGACATCCTCTAACATTGAAAACGAAGGAAAACATACAAACTACATCAGAAGAACCTTCCAGCTAACAGTGACTACACGAAATCCTTAAATTCCTTATTGGAAAATGCCCAAACTAGTTTGAATCTGGTGATAAACACCCTAATGCCTCAAACTAGTTGAACACGTGCGAATAATAAACCATTGAAGCAGGAGAGATAAAATCCAGAAATGATAATGCCGGAAGGAGGGTTGGAGATGGCTAAGCTACATTTTTTATTTATTTATTTATTTTTTTTTTTGGAACACTTCATAGCAGAAATATAGAGGAAGAGAAGGGGGAGAAGAGAAGAAAAATCTAATCAAATGTTGAACTAAACTTAAGATGTGGAAATATTTATAGGGTTTTGTCAAAAAGTATTATAGTTCTAATAAGGATAGCAAGTTTGTATGGGACCTTATTCCGGGTTGCATCGTATGGTGTGTGTAGAAATAAAAAAACAGCTGCTATTTTGATAATCAAACACGGACAACAAAACATATTAGAGAATTGTTTTATTTGACATTGTATACTTGGTTTAATGATGCGACTTCTAGGCACATGGACGGGTTGCCCAAATTCAAATTTTTTTTTTCAGATTTAAATTGATAATACACTTTCTATTTATTACTTATTGATTAATAAAATACTTGATTACTTTTCAAAATAAAGGTATTCTAGTTCTAATGTCTCACAGATTTCTAGTCATTTAATTTTCACTACAACGTTAATAGAAAAACGTGGAGAATAAATATCTTAGTGCCGCATTTCAACTATCTTTACCATTCAGCAACTGCATAGCTGATTCAGAACCATGGTCATTTAGATCTAGTATTTGCCTATTCCTTATACTATATAACTATTGAAAATAATTCTTAAAGAATCTGAGCACATGATTGCGTGTTCTTCTTATTCAGGTGCCGGGCCTATACAATTTCAGTCGATTATAATTGATTTTTTGATTGGTTCGACATGCAGGGAACAAGAACGAGCGAGTTGTATGCGTTAAGAATATGACTCCCGAGGACGTGCACCAGTGTGCAACCAGGCTAAGGAATGCACTAGGACGAAAGGCGGTGAAGCTGAAGACAAGGCACGTCACAAAACATCCTAGTGTTCAAGGTACTTGGACGACCGACCTTCAGATGTGAGCTTCTCGAGTAGTGTAACAAAGCGTTCCAAGTTTCGCTTCATCATCGGTACTTGGAGGACGACAATTAGCTTGGATCATGTTACAGAAATGGGGGTAGTCTTCTACCTTGTGCGATTGTTTTTTTTGGCAAGGAAAGTGGTTTCGGCCTGTAACAAGCCAAATTTCTACAACACAATAGAAATTTCTGTTACTGTTTGAGTTCCTATGCTGCTCCCTTGCTTGACCATATGTTTTATAGGAACGTTTCTAGAAATTCAATGGAGTGTGATTTTCTTAATTACTGTGTATTAAACATGTAATATTTGTAAAATCAGGGCCGGTTTTGTGATTTTCGGGGCTTGTGGCGAACTCCATAAATTAGGCCCACCAAAATCAGCGTAAATATAAGATCCAACGGTGTATTATTATGCAAAATATTGTTAACTAGGGACTTCAATATTGGATTCAAGATCAGGCTAAAAAAATTCAAATTGAACTAATATGCGAAAAAAAATTACAAATAAAAAATTATTTTTACAAATAAAAAATAATAATAAATAAATAAATGGTTTTTGGGCCTGGAGCTCCCTAAGTCTAACCCTGCTGCTAACTTAAAACTTAATAATAAAACAACAAACAAATATATTAGAATTCTGCTTCTAATGAATTTTGGAAAATGTAAAATTATTCATTTATGAGCTTTCAAAGGTTTGATTACTATGATTTATTCTCTGCATAATTATGAGGGCAAAAACTACTACAACTTCGTAAATCCAAACGCTGAAATAGAATTCTGTAAATTTCAAATTGAATAGAATAATTACTACAGGGCCCAACACTAGTCAATTTCATAAAAGGTATAAATTACTAACAAACAAGAAGAAAAAAAACTACTGGAGTGAAACAAACGTGAATAGATAAACATCTCAATTCATTTAAAGAAAGAATAAACCCATGTCTTCGTTGAATACTTATCTAATTATAAAATCACTAATAATCTATTTCATAAGAAACCCACAAATCAATAAAAGCAAAAAGTCCACAAAATTGAGTCCCAAAATCCAATAAACCAAAAGACAGGGAAGAAGAGCCTGAGGGAAAACTTTCAATTTGAGCCCGAATTGTTCCATCTTGGGTAGCAGAAGTGAGATGATTCCTCTCCATATCACATATAAAGTGATCATCTACATAAGTCTGCCAAGACATTTCAAATTCTCTCCTTTTTTTTCTTTTTTCAATTTGTAAAACAAATACTATTTTCTCTCTGTGAGGTCTGCTTATTTTGAGTTTCATTCTTCAATTTGAATCGAATTTATTGAGTTAGGTTGTGAATTTTCTGAAGTTAGCGTGGGATGTTAAGTTTTGTTTAGCTCTGATACCAAATTATTGAACTCTGATACTTGTTGAGTTTTGGAACACATAAGAAAAATAGAATTTATTAATGAAATAAATTTTACACAATTTTAGATGCACACCAAAAATACTAACTAAACACACTAGGACATCTCACCAATTATTTTACCAACTCACTTTCTCTCACTATGCACTACCTCTCTCCTATATTTTTCTCTATCTCTCTACCTCTCACCACTCACACACTACACTGCTTATGCTATCCTCACACACTTGTATCTATATTTCCTTCACCAACTCTTCTCTCACCTGACCACACATGACACACACACACACATATACATGCTTCCTTTTTTCAACTCTTTTTCACTCTTCTTTATTCCCACTCACACACATATATATATAGACATGCATGGCCAGTGGCTGAAGCTTCTTGTATGTCGGTGGAATGTAGTTGCATCAATTCTAGAACCATCATTCAATGGCGATGGTAAGAAGGGGCAGTAGCTTCTAAAAGAGTGAAGGGAAGAAGAATAAGAGAAGTAGCCTAAGGAAGAATGAAGAAGAAGAAAGAGTGAAGGGTGAAGGCTCCGATTGCATCAAAGATGTGAGTTAGAGAGGAAAATGATTTCTTCATTCAATTTACTTTCTTCATGGAATATTTGCTGTAAAGGAATTATGAGAGAAGCTAGAAGAACTATATCAAACGAGAGCCTCTCAAATTGATTATACTTGAAGGAGCAATTTCATTCAATGCACAATGTGACAGGTACAAAATCTCATACCATTTGAGTGTTCTCAAAGGGATTGTTTCAGAATTGGAGGCTATTGGAGCGAAGATAGATGATGAGGATAAGGTACTACGACTCATCTAGTTTCTTCCGTCTACCTGTGAACATATTAAGCCAATCTTAATGTATGGGAAGGAAACTGTGAGTTTCGCAGAAGTGACAAGCAACTTGATCTCGAAAGAAAGAATATTAGGGTGACAAAATACTCCATCTGATAATACGGTGCTTGTGACTGAAAGGGAGAAAAAGGGCAACTCCATGAGGAAGAAAGCAACTTGTTGAAACTGCGATCAGACTAGCCACGTGAAAGAGAAATTGTCCAAAAGGTGGAGTAGAGTCAGCTAACTGCTTGGGATCGGATAATGCGTCTCTCCTGGATGAGGAAGACACGAATGTGGTGCTGTAAAATAAGATGGAAACATCCTTATGACATGTTGCCAATTGCCATGATAGAGAATGTGTTCTTACTTGCGTGGGTCATCATATATGCACATAGTATTGACTGACATTTGATGCAAGGTGTGTAGGTATGTGTGGTGTTATGATGTCGATGGCTGATGAGCTCTCTAGGAAAGTTAGTGGGAAAGTTGCACCATAACAATCGGCAGGGCTTTTTCGACATGTAGCCAATGAAATGCTCGGAGTTCGCGGATAATTCTAAATGGTTATACTCATATGGTGGAGTATGGGACCGTTAAAGTGTGTCAAAGGCTTACCTTTTTTCCAAGCATTGTGATTAAAAGTTGTAGAAGATACGACAAGATTTTGACTCGTTTTCGACAAGGTGATGATTGTTAGATAATTATCTCAAAAGTCAAAAGTTGAAGGACTTCTATTGCAAATAATAAAAGGTAGTTATTCTATGGAAGACTTCAAATTAAAGTTGAGAGCGGAATCTTTGCAAAATTCGGTATCCAATTTGTAGCTGAGTTTGGAATCTTACACATGAAGGAATCATTGTTGAATTAAAGTAGTTTTGTTTGAGTTTAAATTAAACTCTTCTACTTGGTTATTGATCCTATAAATAGTGAATGTATTTCATTATTTTGGGTGTGGCCTGTGAGTTGATTTGAGAAAAAAGTATTATGAGCCTAGCATCTTAAGAGTTTTCGTACAAAGGGTAGAAAAGTAGATGTGGTAAAGTTTGAGTTTATTTTTTCTTTGTAATACTTGGGGACTGGGTTGGTGAGTGAAATTCTATAGGATTGTAACAATTTTTCATATAGTGAAAATGTTTGATGGTCCGTTTAATTTGTGCATTATATTCTTTTTTTCCTATTTGCTAATATTCTCTTGAACAACAAAAGATCCAGCAGGTAAATAGAAATAAAGGAAATTAACTTAAAATTCCAAACATACAAATCTTAGAAGATGGGACCCATTTATATGAGAAAGTGATAAGTGGCAATGATTTGGAGCCCATAATATACATTTTCAAAATAGATTAAAGGGGTGTTTGAGCCACATTATTTTGATAATAATGCATTCTTGAATAGTGTGTTTGATGGGAAATGTAATGTGGTAAGGAATTGGACTTCATGACAAAGTGGGACCGGCGCAAGAAAAAATAATTTGGAGGAAATTTGGAGTTGTCCTTTTTACGAAATTGTAGTCTAATTCGGTTGGAAACGGGTTGAAAAGTTAAACTCAAAGGCTTTGCGTTTGACATAGGACCAATTTCGAGCAAATTCCTTCGTTTAGGCCCTCGTTTAGGCATTTTTCCTTTTTTGGTAATCTTATTTTGAGTATATCCCAATCAAATAAATTCAGACTTACATTCCGTTTGTTGGAGAGTAATCCCGAATATTAGGACTATTAATTTCCATCATTAACTTGATTTTTTCCATCTTTGGGAAAAAATCTCTTTTTTTTAATTATTTAATTTTCAACTTTTCTAGGTTTTTGCTATAAATACGTTGTAAGCCTCTTGAGACTGCAGATTGATTTGAGTGAAATAAAATTTTTCGTGAGTTTTCTTCTTTGTGAGATTTGTTCATCTTCCCTATAACTTTCGCTACGTCAGTTGGTATCAGAGCCAGGTTCGTTCCTTTACCATGTCGTCAAGGAGACATCCAGCGGTCCTTGAAGCCCCAGTAGAGGAGGTGAATAGACGTGATGAAATTGCACAACTACGTCAACAAGTGGAGTTGTTGACCCAACAAATCGCTGCACTCGCGCCACAGCAACATGTGCATGTGGCCCAACCACTTGAAGATTTCGAGGATGAAAATCTGTTTGAGCCTCTTGATCATCCAATAAATCTGCCAGTTCGACGGAGAGGAGGTGGCCATGAGGAGAACAAGAGCTGAGAATCAGGATTCAAGGTTGATATTCCTGAGTTCCATGGTGGATTAAGTCCAGAAGAATTCCTGGATTGGGTGACTGCAGTGGAGGAGGTTCCTACTGGAAAATGTATGCCTCTCGTTGCGACGAGATTTCGTGGATGAGCAGCGGTGCAATGGTAACAAACAAAAGTGACAAGATCTCGATTATGGAAGGTTAAGATTGCATCTTGGGTAGGGATGTCAATTGGGCCGAGCCGGCTCGCGGCTCGTCAAAGCTCGGCTAGTGGGCTGCTCGGCCTCGTCAAATGACGAGCCCGAGCTCAAGCCGAGCGGGTGGTCCCGTCCAACGAGCCAAGCCCACGAGCCAGCTCGTCCAAAAATGTGGAAAAAAATAAAATTTTATCAATAAAATTTGAAAAATTTGCAAAAAAAAATAAAAATACAAGCTCGCGAGCCGCTCGTGGGCTTGGCTCGACTCGGCCCACGAGCTCGTGGGTCGAGTCGAGCTTGAGCTCGGTTCGTGAAAAACGAGCCACGAGCTCAGCTCGCCCCGAGCCCGAGCCCGAGCCGAGCTCGTGGGTTAACGAGCC